CCCGAGCTCGCGACCTTGCGCGGGCCCCAGTGCCACTTCCCGTTCGCCCGCCGGCCAGAGAAGGGAAGGATGACGACCTCCAGCCCAGGCCCACCACCGCCGCCGCGCGCCCCTATGTGTATTATTCATACCTGTGTGCTTTTGTGAATGTTGGTGTATATTTATGTGTGGGTGTCCAATCTTTAGGAGTGTAATTTATTTACTTTGCAAAATAATTTAGAGTTTACAAAAGTTATTTACCATAGGCTCCATTGGAGTTATATTTTTAGGAAGATGAATTACATTTTTACTGGGCACATGTCCATTTTTCATGTATATATGCCTTCATGAATGTGACTGTATTTTTGTGAGTTTGTCTAAACTACAGGCTTATGATTAATTTACAATAGAAAAGAATTTAAGGACATACAGAATGATTTCTAAAAGGCTCCACTGCAGTTGTGTATCTAGAGAGATTTAGTGCCTATATACTGTTTGTGTGTGTATTATTTATGCATGTGTGCATATGTGACCCTGTGTCTGTGTTTGTATGTGCTTCTCTAAGCTTCAATAGTGCAATTTATTTATGGTACAAAGGATTTCAAAGTTACAGAAGAATTAGCAGTCAGCTCCACTGGAGTGGTTTTCTTTAGGGAAATTGTTACCTTTCTACTGTGCTTGTGTCTATTATTCATACATGTGTGCATATGTGAACATGGGTTTGCATTACTGTGTGTGTGTCCAAGTTGTAGGTTTGTGATTTGTTTACAGTATAACAGAATTCTAAAGCTTATAGATAAATTCCCAAAGGCTCCATTGCAGTTGTGTTTTCTAGAAAGATGCAGTACCTTTATACTGTGCTTTTGTGTGTTATTCATGTATGTGTGCATATTTGAACATGTGTCTGTGTTTGTGTGTGCTTGTTTGAGCTCCAGGAGTGCAATTTATTTACAGCATAAAAAGATTTCAGAACTTACAGAAGGTCGATCAAAGACTTCATTGAAGTTTTTTTAAAATGGAAATGCAGTACTTTGGGGAACCAGCAGTTAGCGTAATGGCTAAGTTGCTGGACTCCCATGTAGTCAACCATGGTTCGCGTCCCGGACCCGGTGGCTTAGAACTCATGCTGGGTGCATGTGCGTGCGTGCCCAAGATCCCGAGAGGAGAATGGAGGAGAAGGGATTGAGGCGTGACCATCCCCCCCTGGGGTGTGATTTCTTGCTTTCTGTCTCTATGTCTCTCTCTGTCTGTCTGGCGAGCGCACATGCCCTATAGCAAAAACCTCTTAAAAAAAAAAAAAGGAAATGCAGTACTTTGTACCGTACCTGTGTGTATCATATTGGTGTGCTTTTGTGAATGTTGGTGTATTTACATGTGTGTCCAAGGTTCAGGAGTGCAATTTACTTTCAGCACAAAATAATTTTAGGGCTTATAAATGGTTAGCCAAAGACTGCTGCAGTTGTATTCTTTAGAAAGATGTATTGCTTTTTTACTCTACATGTGTCCATTTTTCACTCCTATGTGCATATGTGAATGTGGGTGTGTGTTTTTGTGTGCATGTCCATTGTTCATAAGTACAATTTCTTTTCAGTAAAAAAGGAGTTTTGATCTTTTAGAAAGATTTGGCAAATACTCCTGTGGAGTTGTGTTTTCTAGAGAGATGTAGTAGTTTTTTACAGTGTGTGTATTATTTCTTCACTTGTACCTATGTGAACCTGGATGTGTATTTGTGTATGTGTGTCTATGCTGAGTTGTGTGATTCTTTTACAGTAGAAAATAAATGTATATCTTACAGAAGTATTTGCAAAGGGCTCCATTGGAGTTGTGTTTTCTAGAAAGATGTAGTATTTTTATACTGTATATGTGTGTATTATTCTTCCATGTGCACATATGTGTACATGAGTGTGTATTTCTGTGGGATCTGCCCTCACTCATGTGCAGTCACTTACAGAATGGGGACCTGTGGGAATGAGAGCTAACCCTACTGGATCCCCAGCATAGTGTAAGGTCCACTCATTGGCTCTTACCTTAATGGGCAGGGCAGCAACCCCTTGACCACAGTCAGGAAGCCCGTCCCATCTCACATCCTGTGTGCATGTAGACAAGCATGCTGAGTAGGAAGCCAGTCCTTGGGGGCAGTCTGAGGGCAGGCTTGATATAAACCAAACCCCAGGAGCTGAATTTTAGCTGAACTATCTGTCCAGGTGCTCTTGCAGGGTGCCAGCCTGCCCTTGGGGAAGCAATAGAGCCTCCTGGGTTGGGGTGGGGAAGTCATGTCCAGACCTACCAATCCGTTTCTTGAGCAACCCAGCCATGGGCTGCCCTTGTGGAACCACCCACTGTTGGGGATGTTCACGGCAACTGCAGGGAGAGCAGAGAAGGCCACAGGCATAAAGGTGCCAGGGGAGGGCTACCCAGCAGTGGCCTGTCTGTGTCAGAGGGGTTCTTGAAACTAGAGGCAATGCTCCAGAGAAATTCATGCCAGCATCTCAGCCTTCCTTATGGCTAGGAGAAAGCTCAGTCCTGATACGTCAGAACAGGCAGCTCAGTCATGGGTGCAGCCACTGTGCCAAGCAACTCAGCAGTTCTTTGAAAAGCCCACCAAAGGGGCTAGCTGCAGTGCATAGTATAGCACAACACTCCCATGCTGAAGCCACAGGGGAAGGTCCCAGGTTTGTGTCCCGAGGTCTCTCTGTGTACACTAGGCATGCACATGTGACCATAACCTGGATGGGCTGACTGCAGGGATGATGTGGCATGGAGACACTGCTGGGTGTGCCTGCCTCTGTATCTCTCTCTCATAGAAGAAATAAACAAAAACCTTAAGAGTTACCATATGACCCAGCAATCCTGCTTTTAGGTATATACCAAAAGAATTAAACATTTTCTAGAGCCAGCAGATGATATGGTGGTTAAGGTAACTGGATCCCATATGGCTGACTGCACAGTTTTTCTGACACCTGGCAGCTTGAAAAACACACATGTGCATGTACATGCATCCCCCAAGTCCCAGGGAGAGTGGAGGAGAAGAGATTGCAGTGTGGCCACACCCTGTGGGGGTTTCTCACTTGCCCTCTCTTGGTCTCTCTGTTAAGCACACACACCCCTATGTCAAAAGCCTAAATATAAGATACAATTTTATATATATATATATATATTTTTTTTTCCTACACAAAAACCTGAATGGTAATGACCATATCAGCATTACTGATAATAGCCAGAAATTGCAAACAACCCAATTGCCCATCAGCAGGTGAATGGGCAAATAAACTGTGGTGAATCCACATGATGGAGCATTGTTCAGCCTTTAAAGTAATCAATATTTGGGACCAGCAAGTGGCATGGTGGTTAAGGCACTGGACTTCCATCTGACCCACTGCAGTTCAGGTCTCAGACCTGGTGGTTTGAAAACCATGCTGGGTGTGTGTGCATGCATGCCCAAGATCCCAGGAGGAGAATGGAGAAGTGGTTGCAGCATGGCTATCCTCCCTAGGGGGTGATTTTTTCACTTTCCCTCTCACTGTCTCTCTACAGCAAGTGAATGCACTTATTACAAAAACCTGAAATAAAAAAGTAATTGAATTTTGATATGTGCCACAATATATATGGGTTTTGAAAACACTAGTCTGAGGAAAGATATTAAGGAGAAAAATAGGTAGACATTTATGGGGCCCAGAAATGGATTATTATCTGTTGATGATAACGTGTATAGTATCCTCAACTGGACGGGTGTGAAGGGTATTCATGTTGGAAAATTCGATTTACAAGCTAAGTGATGTATAGGGATTAAATGAATATATTTTTAAAAAATTATGCTATGTTAAGAATCCATGTACAAAAGACCTCCTATTATACAGGACTCCATTTATATGAATATCCAGAAAACACACATCTGTAGAGACACAAAGTGAAATTGAGGTGGCCAGGGGTTGGAATAAGGGGACTGAAAACTATGACATTTCTTTGGGAAATGATAGAAACATTCTGAAGTTAGACAGAGGTGATGGTACAACACAGTGAATATACTAAAAATCTCTAAAGTGTCCATTTGAAATGATGCATTTTGGGATAAGTAGGTACTGTAGTGTTAAGGCACTGGACTCCCACATGGCCAACTATGGTTTAAGTCCCAATCCTGGCAGCTTGAAACTAACACCAGGCTTGTGTGTGTACATCCCCAAAATCATGAAAGAGAGAATGGATTATGGTGTGGCCATCCCCTATTGAGGGTTATTTCTCACTTTCTCTCTCTCTCTGTCCTTTTAGCAAGTGGATGCACCCTATAGCAAAAATCTCTAAAAAAGAAACAAACAAAAAGACAAAGAAAAGGAACTGTTGAACCAATAATCCCATCCACCCTGAGGCCTTAGGAAATGCTCTTCCCCCTGCTTGCTTCTCTGTGTCTGATTCTGTGTGACAGGCTCTTTCTCATCCTTCAGACTTCTGTTAAATGTCACCTTAAGAGCTGGGACATAGCCTTAATGTAAAATTGCTATTCACCCCCCACCTCCATTTCTTTCTGTTTCCATGCACTGTTCAGTTTATCTGCAGCACCGACCACAAAATTACCGGCTCTTATTTGTAGTTTGTCTCCCTAACTAAAGTGTGATGCCACAAGGCAAGGGCTTGTCTTCCTGCCCTGTCTGTCCAGTGGTGGGTGAGTGAATTGTGTGTTTGTGGGTCAGGTGCACAACAGCTCACACTTGTCACACAAGGTTCTACATTTCGTGTGTTTCAGCTTGTGAAGTCCATTTTGGAAACACCAGGTGGCCCATCGATAATGTCCTTGGGGAAGTCGGAGGTGGGTTTAAGGTGAGTTGCCAACCACACCCCTTGTGGTCAGTGCAGGTCACGCTGTGGCCTGTGATCTGCCAGCTTCCAGTTGTACCGCTGCTCGCAGTAGACCGGCTTGGGTTTGGCAGGTAACTGTGTAGTTCTCTGCTGAGAAATCAGCAAAATGGAGATGGGGAGACCAGCTGGCTCCTCTAAGAATGGAGTGTGCGATCTAGATGAGGCTTTTTTCTCTCCCAGGTGTCAGGTTGGGACCCTCCCTGTGGGACCTTCCCTGCAGGGGTGGGACCCTCCCTGTGGGACCCTCCCTGCAGGTGTGAATGCAGGCCTGTGGCCTGCATAAGCCGTGAGCACACGGTACTGGGTCTGGAGTCCCTGCCCTCATTGTTCTTTTCTTCTTGGAGTCAGATTTGTTTATTTTTTATTGAGACAGAATTCAACTAACTTTAATTCACTTTTTTTTTTTTTTTTAGAAAGAGATTTTTGCTACAGGGCATTTGTGCTCACTGGAGACACAGAGACAAAAAGAGAAAGTGAAAGATAACCACCCAAGGAGATAGCCATGCCACAATCCCTTCTCCTCTCTGAATTTTGGGCATGTGTGCACAAAACACCTAGCATTAGTTTAAATCTGCTGGGTCTGGTATTTGAACCATGGTTGGTCACGTGGGAGTCCACAGTAACTGCAGTGGGCTTTCTGCACCCTGCTGCTGACATGCAGGCTGCCATGGGACTACTGCAACCAATGCAGTGCCGTACTCCCAGCAGGAGTAAGTGCCTGCAATGTGCCAATGAAGGATATGCTCCTGACAGCAAATAGAACACGTGGGCAGACCTGAACCCAGTGCACAACCTGAAGCAGGCTGCCTGGACACCCAGACTGTGAGAAAACTGAAGTCAAGTTCTGAGGTGGGTGTCTGATAAGACCCTACAGGAATGAACAATTGGCAAACTCTCTAGGGAGGTTTCCAGCATGCTAGGGGCCACAAGCGAAGCCAATATGAGTGAGCTGCAGCCGTGGAGGGTAAATGTGTCTGGGGAAGGCAGTACTCACTGGGCTGTGGACAACCCTCTTTCAGGATGCAGCCCCCAGAGAACTGAATGCTGAGCAGAGACTGCAGGTGGCACAGGTGAACAGGAGTGGAGAGGAAGGAGGAGTTTAGGTAGGAAAGACAGAATGTTTACCTAGGATGCTAGACTACGTATTG